TTAAAAGTGTTTGTGAGTGTAAAATATAGTAGTAATAATAACGTTTCCTTCAAACTAAAAAACTTGGCTCTTCTTAATTTTTCCTTAATTACCCAATTTTTGATGATGATCTATACCGCGACCACATTCTTTCCAATAGTAGCGAATATCTACATGGAATGGTTTTGCCCATACCAAGAATACTGCTATCGCTAGTCTGAAATAAACATATAGACGGCTGGACTGAATTCACTTAATGGCTGTTTCAAATTCCATTACTAGATGTCCCTGTGAGTACGTCTGCAAACCGAAAATCAACAAATACTAGACGATATCTAAGTTTTCTTCGAGCAGTTGGAAAACATTCACAATAGTACCCGTAACTGACCAAGATACGCTCTCAATACTTCAGAAAAGATCAAACGAAAAGCGAAAAGAGAGAAAACGCATCGAGTATTATATGAATACGGTGATAATATTGCAGAAACCAAATGGCCTTCGAATGTAAGCACGGAATAGAACAAATATACACAGGATAGCAGATTATAGGAAGAATCACAAATTTGGTACATCTTGTACGACGTCGTATCAGTAACTAGACTAAACTAAGTTATATTTATAATCAATTCTGAGCTATCGAAAGCATCTACTAATCTATTATTAGATGCACTAAAGCTGTGATTAATTTGTAAACCATTACTATATACCGTATATTAAATATTTTTATCCTAACATTTATTGAACTTTTTGTGTGCTTTAGATCGCAAGTATTACAAGTATTCGAGTCCTTCAGGATCTGAACTCGAGTTTATGCTCTCCAACTTTAATGTGTTTTCCGACGACGTTGTTCGGAAGGATATATCCCCAATAATTTCTGCGGGCGTACAGGTCAAGATTTTCGAAACCGTCTGGATCTCTCAGTGAGGAAATTTAACGAAACTCTATTGTTGAAATTGCGCCGCATCGAAGCGATTCGAGTGTTGCGCGAGAGTGTTATTGTTCACTCTAACCGTGTCGTGTTTAGTCTTCGGATTTGACTCGACTTTAATCAGATTGCAAGTTTATATGGCTTTTAAATGTGATATGTTTTTGCAAGTTGAGATTGCTTTTTGAGGTGTCACGGCGTTCGATTGTCTGCTGTAACTATGTAAATGTGTAGACATGGCAATTTACTTAGCAGTTGAAAAAAACCGCAATCTTTTTACTAATTTCAAATTCAGGTCAGTCGGTTTCAGAGCATTACAAATATATTTTTTGGTGTTGAATCACGTTTTCATAGCAGAGCGATGGCGGATTATTAGAATTCGATAACAGTTGTCTATTATTGGTGGTTCCAATGCGATGGTGGCACGATTTATTTTTGTTGACTAAATCCCAAATCAATCCAAAAAAGGTCGCGTTTGGACTACTTTGATATTCATTTAAACTACTTCTGGCGAGACGCTAAATACTTACACTGCATTACCTGCCGGAATACTTCATCAGACTGGCTTCGGTTCAGACAGGATACGAGTTTCAGATTACCCGACAGTAGTTTACATTGATCTGGCGGCGCAGCAAATTAGAGACAAAATGACAATGAGAAACGGGACCCTAGCTTCTGGCGGATCGTTTTTAAACCCATATTTATTTACTTATTTATTTCTTTTAAATTATAAAAAAGGAAAGGTTTACTGTTTTTCCAATATCTGTTTTCAGGTGTGGAATAAAATACGGTACGTATCGATTTGCTCTTTAGCCCATCTGCACAAAAATGTCTTGAACATAGACGGAAGTAGGCACGTACATTTTTTGTGAAATTATATTTTGTAGACGCATTAAATTAATATAACTTAGTATTAATTCCGGAATTTTCTAAAAATTCTGAAATACTTGTTTTTAATTTGGTTTACTTTTCATTATTTTAAAAAACTAATTTTGTCTGTATGTAATTTTATGATAGTATAGCAGAGCAGCTTCCGTACTTTTTATTTCTTTAAACCTTGCAATGCATAATGTGTATCCTACCTATGATGCAAGACGAAAAAGAATCTAAACGTTCTAGTTCAAGTCTCAACTAAAGCCATTTAGAGACTGAAAAAAAGCTACGCCAGCCATATAGAAATACAAAATGAAGTTATTACAATGGTCTCATTTGGCCAAGCGGAGTCAGCGGAGCCAGTGCTTAATAAAGGAGTGACAGAAGAATTTTGTCAACGTGTTGCACACTATATTTTTTCTACTCCCTTCCTTAAACTACCTAATATTATCGGAGATGGATGGCACATATCAATAAAAGAAATTACTTTAATCTCGATTAAAAGTGAGCTGTTCCGTTAAAATATTTTTATCTATATATAATACTTTAAATTTTAATTTCAATTCAATTTAAACATAACTTCTATTTGGAAGTGTTCGAATGAGTAAGTTATGTTTAATTACCCATCGGTAAATAAGGTAAATAAATTTGCAAACACAATCACTTTAGGGTTTACTAACCAATAAATATATTGCAAGTAACACAAAGGGCATCATGTAAAATAACTAAATAATATCTATGCGAGTAGTAAATAATGTTAATGTATTTACAATACTAAAATAAATATCCGAAAAATATTTTACAATTGTTATAACAAGAAAAATATATATTAAACGTAGAACACTAATAAAAGAAAATATCAAGTCCATACAAACTAAATACGGACAATCCACATCGACCAAAATTAAAATGATATCCACAAATATAAAAATTATCAAAATTTATATGTTTTTTAATTTATTTATTAAATTTATATTTTTTTCTACTCCCTTCTGTAAAACACCTAATTATACGCCGATATAGCCTACGGAAAGCGTCACTTTACTACGTGAATTTCTTCCAGCCCCTTCGGACATTTTCGGGATATTACCGCACGCACGGGTTTGGGAACAATCGGATGGTTTCGGAGATATTACCGCATGGCTTGAATTTTGACGTTTGGCAATTCTGATAGTCATGTCAGTGAATGTATTTGTGTTGTTTTGCAAAAATGTACCCAAAAACTAACGGTCGTAGAAAAATTATAGTAAGCAACACGATTGGCAAACTTTTCAAGTCATTCGTTTATTAAGTACTCGCCCCGCTGCGCCCGCTAGTGCCAATTGACATTTACAGCACTTGTTGCATAATATCCTATTTCTAATGTCGTGAATTTTTGCAAAACAGCAGGAATACATTCACAGGGTGACGTGTGGCGTGACCGTCGGAATTGACAAATGTCAAAATACGGAAAACATCCGATTACTCCCAAACCCGTGACTAAAATACGTCTGAAAGTAACCATTGCACACATGATTGATCAGTGCTTAACTGGGTTTTAGAGTATTGAGTAGAAAGAAGGTTTTAAAGTTGTTTGGTTTCAGGGTCGTCTTGGAACAACCAAAATCACGAGCCCACATACAATCAAATTAGTAACAGGAGGCAAGGTTCAATGGTTTCCCCACAAATAAGGGCTTATTTTCGATTCGGAAGTACGCAAACCGCTTCCATTTTAAACAACGATGTGCAGATGCAATCCAGACCGACAAGCGCCGAATAAAACTAAAAGATTGAAATTAAACTTTCGCCACAAAACTGATTAAATTGTTACTTTGTTTCGTTGAAGTTTATCATTTGAAGTTACACGCGACGGCGTGGCATCCGGAGACCGAATGCATCCAAATTCAAGGAAACACTGCACGGTTTATATTCCGTGTGAGCACTTATGTTAAATTAGTTCGGTTCTCTCGAGACACACACACACAGTATTCCTGTTACATGGCAGTTGAGGTTATAAAAAACGAATAAAACTTTACACACAACTCGCTGAAATAAATTTTCCCCACTTGCGCGGGAAACATCATTACGTCGATACACATGGGTTTGCTTTGTTGACAGAACGCGATGATACATCGGCCCGTTGTGAAAAAAAAAGTTATTCCTTTCGAGGGGTGCTATTTTGGGAGTTTTAGTTGGTGATGAATGGGAAATTGTGGGAATCGATTTCGTTAACCAGCCCTCGCAAAATATGATAATAATGTTTTATGACCCGTCGCTTTTTTGAGTTGTTTAGTTCCGAAAATAACTGACCTTTGGAAGCCATAATAAGAGCGAAACGTGACGTTGTCAAAGTCGCAAGCTCGAAACTGCACGACCACTTTAGGACAGCTAAAGAAAATACACATTACTAACCACTCAGTACCACCTACACTTACTGATCTTCTCTTGCTTGCTTGCTTGTTATCGATCATATTTATTATAAGTCGTTCTTGAGCCGAAAAGTTGGAGCACGTTTAGTAGCAAATTTTCCCAGTGTTATCAAATGAAGAAGTTCGTAATTTTCTGGGCTATGCCGCCTTCTGATTCGGTCTCTTTGCTCATTATCATATATTTTGTTTTATTAATGTTGAGTTTTAGGCCAAATTATTCGCTCTTCTTCAGTTCAATAAGGCTTGGAGATTATCACTACTAACTTGATATTTTACTTGCAATTATATAACAAAACAACCTAGGTTAAGGGTTAAATACAGCAAACCATCTATTAAAATCTGGATATAAGGGATATGCACACCGACCAAGAAGACAAACGAGATCTAGATGTAGCAGACTTTGCAATTTGACAGTCGGTACTAGATAGATATAATCCGAATAAGAATTAGCAAAAGGTTGATTGTTTTATAGATACAGGACATACATCGGATGCTAAATCCGCACAAGACACATGAATTCCTGTGCATACAATCAATTATTATTTCCAAAATAATAGTGATTAATTTTATTGAAGGGCACTACGACCCGAATGCAAAAGAATATTTTTTACTAACCCGTGAGTATCTTTGTGAATATTTTTTCGTCATTATCGTCCCTTATTTATTGAAGCCACCAGCTAAGGTAAAAGGTGACGTCTACCAAATCAAATTTATCTAAATTTTATGACAACTTCATTTTTTAAACAAGCACCTTATTAAAGTATTTATGACTTTTTTCCATCTGGAATTTAAAAATTACTTACTTACTTACTTACCCTATGAACCACTCTGGATAAAATTTTAAAAGAAACTTTCACAGGTTACTGTAAAACTGTTTACAAATCTTCTGCATTCCTCTTGCATCCGTTGTTTACAAAACATACTGGCTAACATTTGGCCAATCATCCTGTTGGCTTCTTCAGAGCTTAACTGAAACTAATGATGGCGAAACGTCAGCAAGTTTGATTAATGAGCAGAATTTCAAGTTTTTAACATTTCTTAAGCTTCGTCATAGAACTGACAAGTGATAGATTAGTGAACATTTATTTTTTAGCAAAATAGATTTTGAAAGTGCTTATCAACTTGACTAGATTCACTGTGCAACATGTCCCAAGTTAATTGTGAGTGACCCTTGGGGTAACAAACATGAATAAGGTGCGACATTTCTCATATCCACATGAGAATCACATAAAAATATATTTATAGTGATCCAAAATTATTTTGAAATCTGCAGCATCGTGGACTTGGCTTCTGGACCCACGGCCTCACGGCGACCCTGAAATGTCCCCACCAAATCTTTTGTTGCATTGGAGTAGCAGAAAATATTTAAATTGATTGTTCATCTTTCTGATGTAAAAAATGGTTAAAATGAAACAAAAAATTAAAACACAATCACTTTAATAATCATTCCTAACATATAGTATTTCCGCCATAATTTTCTTCCATCCACATTTCCTTGTCCAAATAAAAGTCTATAAGAATAACATTTTATATTTTTATGACAAATGCTAATCTGTGAAAAAATCAAAATTTATGCGACGGCAGAAGTAATCCACCCTACATCAAAATAGAACAGAGCTATTTTATGAATAAATTTTAAGGTTATATTTCGCTGTATTTTTGTTGCTTGCTTTGCAAAATTTGGAAATTGGAGCAATAATGAACCAAGCAATAATACTTTCAGACCGCAGATCAAAGTTCTCTTACGGCCATGTTCTACCGTTACCGACCTCGTAACATTCTATAGATATCATAATATTGCTCAAGTATCAGCTTCAAATGTAACTACTAGGCCCACAAGGTTTATTGAATTTACGGGAAATTATTTTCTGGTAGGAGAGACGCGTGCGTGCTTGCTGTAGATTTGACGAAGCTTCGCGTTTGCGATTTGCTATTTAAACCCTGCGATCACGTGAGCATGTTTCCGAGGTCGTGGCTTGAGAAGGGCCAAACTCAATCAAACTCTTTTGAAGCGCCAAGCCGCTCCGAATTTTCTTGGTAAAGTAATCAAAACATAAACAGTTCGTCGGGATGCGACGGCGGTGAATGATCCTAAGTGGTGGACTGAGGCAACATCGATTAAGTTTATTTACTCTACTCCGACAGATCCTGAGTAAAGTGAACATTTTCGAAAGACATTTTTTCTTCAACAGATATCTTGACTTAAACAGGTTTAATGCATTTTAGTTTTGCCAATAAATAATTGGCACACACCCTTAATGCATTACGTACTATCGTTTTACATAATAAAATGCTGGGATATGGGTAGTGAAACTGCCGTCCACTAGCTCGTTAATGCATTTGCTAATTAAATGTCCTTTCAAAACTCTCGCTTCGAATCTAACTTGTATTGCATAACAAGCTTTCCAGGACGCATTTTGTTGTAAGACCGGAAAGCGCGTCCTATATCGTACCGGAAAAGCTCCGTTAACCGGATACCATATCACCATGCCTTTTCGACGTGTTATTTTCCACGGACACTTCTTACCGTCCGTCTCTCCTATTCCTATTTTTACTTTAAAGGTGGACCGACTTTAAAATCATGAAACGACTGACATTTTAATAATTTTCTTTTATTGCTTGATTAAATTGTTTTAGATAAATCCCTAGCTTGTAAGATAAGTTACAGCTTACAGTAACAGTTTACAAATTACCAGTTACAGCTCCAGCGTTTATGCAGAAGTATTTAAATTTTTAAAATATTTACGAAAGTTGGATAATATATATAAAGTGTGCCAATGAAAAGCGCTGAAAAATTGTGGACTGTTTTTCGAGTTCGAATAATTTGTACTCCCGTGTGACATCTAATGTTAGGGTTCCATTCGCTATTTGTCCCTTTAACTTTGCTATATACGTATCTATAAAATGTCGCTCATTCACACAAGCATTCACAGCTGCCGGTAGGAATCAAATCCACAACCTCCGGTGAAGTTTAGACTTCCTTCTTGCGTAACCGGGAAATACGTAATTGAACTCGCGTATTAATTAAACTTCAGAATATATTTGTACAATTATTTCATTATTACATTGTATATAAGTATAAATATTCATTTTATACGATAGTAATACAGAGCTCAACCTAGATACTATTGATTTGCCCAATTCAATTGGATAAAGAAATACAGTATTTACTTTTTTTGCATTTTACTGACACCATACGCACCTATATGTGTGAAAAGTTCGTCAAACTCGCAATATCAAATTTTTGAATAATATCGTGTTAAAGTATTGGTGGTAAAATAAAAAAAACAATTACAAAATCCCTATCCAAATATTTGTTTAAGTTTTGTACATTTGAATCTCTCAAAACAGGCAATTTTTGCTTAGAAATAGAAATAGAAATGGAAGCTTATTTACCAGGAACTTTTACAGATTATGGTTTCGTCATCACAATAAATATTAATAAATGTTCATAAATCGTAGATGTCACAGGCTATATGTTATTGTCAAGACAAAGTCAAAACAATATAAATGTAAAACAATTAAATAGAAACATATACACAGATGAATACAGAATTATTAACATAAATATTAGCACAAGGCTCAGTACTGGCTCCACTACTTTTTAATGTTTACATAAGTGACACCCCAAATACTACGTCACGTAAGTTTTGTTACGCAGACGACATGGCTATAGCCACTCAAAATAAACACCTTGAAGAAGGAAAAACAATCATAACAGCCGACTTAGAAACCTTAAACCAATACTTCCAAAAATGGAGACTGCGCCCGAACCCAAATAAAACAGAGACATGTGCCTTCCACTTAAATAACAGGATGGCGCACAGAGAACTAAATGTCACGTTTTGTGGAGAACCAGTCAAACACAACAAACACCCCAAATATCTAGGCGTAGTCCTCGATAGGTCTCTCAGCTTTAAAAAGCACCTTGAATTGACATGCCAGAAACTTAAAACCCGAAACAACATCATACGTAAATTGGCAGGCACCACATGGGGAGCAAATGCAGCTACCTTACGCACTGCAACACAATCCCTTGTTTACTCTGTAGCGGAGTATTGTGCTCCTGTATGGGGCAGAAGCTCTCATGTAAATAAGATTGACACCCAACTTAATGAAGCCATGAGAGTAGTAACAGGGACACTGAAGTCGACTCCTTTACCATGGCTCCACGTACTATCAAATATCGCTCCCCCAGGAATCCGAAGACAACAGGCTACATTCCAAGAATGGCAAAAGATAAATCACCCAGACCAGCCAAGAACGTGGCCTATTCACAAGGTAATCGATGAACCCTGTGTGAATCGACTGAAATCAAGGGCCCCAATATGGAACTTGGAAGCACTTGCTCCAGGAAAAACCTACGACGCCTCTGAATCATGGACATCCGTATGGAATAACAGCAATGTCAATCAACACAACATAGAAGATCCTAATAAACAGCTCCCAGGGATGCAACTACCTCGTAAAACATGGTCCCTATTAAATAGAGTTAGAACTGGACATGCAAAAACGAGATCAGCGATGCACAAATGGGGAATTGCCAACAATCCAGCATGTGACTGTGGAGCTGAAGAGCAAACATTAACACATATAGTCCAAGACTGCCCACTGAGAAGATTTACTGGACAATGGAAAGACTTTACTGATGCAAACCCCGCTGCCATTGCATGGTTATCTGAACTGGATTTGGACCTGTAGATTTAATTTTCCCATACCGCTAGGTTGCTCGCATGCACCTGTTATATGTACTGTCTGTGTCATATTTAATGTGTATTACTGTGTTTTACATTACTTGTATTAATTGTCATTTATACCTACCTTTCATAAAAATTTTGTTTGTAACCTATTATATAGCACTTGTAGAGCCATACGATAAATAAATAAATAAGCACACAAAAAACAAAAAAGGTGAAAACTGCTTAATTATTTTTGTCGAAAACAAAATTACTCTCAAGGTATTCCTGAACAAAATAGAAGCAATGAGCAAGCAAATATTCTATCATTGATCTTTTAAATTTTTTGTTAGATGTTGGTAGTCTATTGTACAGTATGTAATTCCAAGAATTACGAACAGACTTTGATATCTTATGCAGCGGGATAATGATTTATTTTTATGATGCATTTCAATTAAGGGAAAATAAACGAAGATGCAAGGTATAGGCATAATCCCTTAGCTCAAAAAAATGCAATGGGCACGATAATGCCCACCACATAATCTAATCGCTCTGTTTTGTAATTTAAAAATGACCTGTGCTGCAGTACTGTGCCCCCACAATGGAAATTTATGCAAGATCGCAGTCTTCTTATTAAAAATATCAGACTCGATAAAGCTTTAGAGAGTTCATCTGTAAGGTGTGACCACGACAATTTGTGATCTATAATGAGACGCAACAGCTTAATACTGTTACCTACCGCTAACCTCGATTAAGTCGGTATTTTCAAAATTTCGGTTTTATAATTATTTAAGAAAAGATTATTTCTCACCGAACCATCTTTCGGCTAGATTTCAAGCAGCATTTGAGGTGTCAGACAAAGTTTCAATGCTGAGGCTGGAGGTAACAAATTTTGATTGAAATCAAATAATTACTCAAGTCATTCACATATACGATAAACAATAGCAAAATTGAGCCTTGCGGTAGTCCGTATTTTAGTTCCGGGGCGTTTGTTAAAGAGAACCAGATTGAGATCTAATTTTCATATAACTTTCGAGAAGTATCAAAGGCATCCATCCCCTTTATTCCATTGTATTCTAATTTTTTAATAAAATATCATGGGACACGCAGTCAAAGGCCCTGGACAAATCATTACAACACTATGGAATCGTTATAACACCATGCAGCCCCCAAGTTGAAGCCCTCGACCACACCCTCCAAGATCCGTAATAGGGCCTTCGTTGTAAAATGTCCAGCCCTAAAACCAAGCTGGTCCTTATTCAAAAAATCACGTTTTTTAAAAAAATGCACCTATCTGTCCTTTAAAATTCTCTAAATTATCTTCTCAAATAAAAGAACAGTTCAAATTGGACTGTAATTATAGACATTGTTGGGATCTCTTTTTTTCCAAAGCGGTAAAACTCGGTTAATTTTAAATTTAGAAAGAAAAACGCCAGTGAGAAAGCTCTTATTAATCAATTAAGTTGACGGAGTCATCAACAGGTCAATAGTACTTGCTAAGATTTTGAAATTTGCATAACAAATGTCAGTTGATGGTGAATTGTTAAGGAGAGAAATGTACTCTCTGCCTCGTCAACGGGATTTATATAAAAAGAACCAGAGAAAATTGGTGATGAGATCGCTGAAAGAGCAGTGTCTCTAATTGCAGGCAATTTTTTAATCACTTCCTCAGCAACGTTTACATAAAAATAAAGCAAGATGCTTTGCAGAGAGAACAGATTCATTATCACATGACTTGTTTTTGTTACGCTCCGTATTTATTAGGCTCCACGCTACCTTGCTTTATTTTTTGCCTCCAGTAGATGAGCATCGTATGCTAGTTTTTTGACTCTGTTTATTTCGTTTTTATATTGTTTAGATAACGGTTCAACGAACTCTTTATACCGGGGTCATTTATTGCTTTTATTAAAAAGTTTAATCGTTTCAATCTGTTCTCTCATGCGTTTTAAGTCTTTTTTTCCTAGCTGTTTATCTACTATTATAAACTGACCGCTGTGATCTGACTTTAATATAAGACTTAAAATAGGTTTTGGGCAAATAGGTGAAAATATTGTCAATACAATATTTCCTTTTTGTTTGTTTAAAAATGGTTTGTTTAATACCAAAAGAGCCTATTATGTTTAAAAGTTTTGAGATATCGGTTGATGGTTGATTGAAATGAAAATTAAAGTCACCCAAAATGATTAAATTTGTTGAAACAGATGTTAAGAAGAGATTCCAAACTGTTAGAGAGCCTCCAGTAACCTAGATGTAATTTTTTTCTACACTTTTTTCTAGGTATTTAATAATAACTTTTCCATTTTGAAATAAATGTAATTTTTATAATTGCATAATGGTCGATCAAAATTTTGCGGTAATTCGAGAATGATTGTCATCATCTGTTGCGATTAGCTGACAAACGCACTCTCGGTCAATTTGACAAGGCGGTAATCAAACAAATCTCGAATGTATTAGTTTACCATCAGTAAACTGCGGTTTGCGTTTCTGTAGCTGTTCTGAACAGTGGTTAGGTTGTGGTAGGTTTGATAGAGGATAACGTCGAACATCTCCAACTGACCAAATTTCAACAAAGCTTCACAGTATGTACAGATATACCAAATAGTTATGTGACGTTATTTTCACTTGATCTAGTCAGTTTGGAAAGGGTTTTGTTAAAAGAAAGCATTTTTCCTGGTCTCTAAATCAGGCTAAATTATATTATCGCAAGAAAGGGGATATAGGTAGAAGATTTTCGACACTTCAACAACATTTAAAGTACAGTAGACACCTGTAATATTTACAGTAAGCGTAATCGGAGATTGTGTTGCAATAAATATTTGTTGTTTGTTTTATTACTTTATACATATTAAAAAGCAAAATTAAAGTAGGGCTTCCCTAAATCGGATTATCCAAGAGCCAGAAAATAAAATTCGAGTTATAGAAAATTCGAATTAAAAAGGAAAACTTAAATCTTTGTTTTAAATTAGTCCTTAATTTTGATTAAGGATTCCAAAAGGAATAGAATAGAATAACATTTATTAATTCCAAAAGAATCAATAGAGTATTCGACATTTGTCAAGAAGATCGAAAAACAGATCTTAGTCATCCGAGGTGTTATAATTTATAGTTAACAAAATTAAATAATATTGAAACGTATATAATAAATAAAATATGTAATTATGAACAATACAGTTCCTACAAATCAAAACATATTTTATTCATTTTTTGTTTGGAGGAATTGAAAACGTTATTCTAAAATTAAGATATTTTGTTTTTAAATTTAAAACTGTCGGTGTGTTGTATGTCGCAAGTTTAATGTAATATATCAAAACCGTCGTGAGAAGTGCGATAAAGTAGCATAATATTAGTCTCTATGATAAAAAGTATTTTTAGGCTTCGCTTAGGGAGGCATTTTAATATAACTGTAACATATTTAACATTTTTTAGGATTCATAACAATTTGTATCCTGTTTTTTCCTAAAATGTATCTATGACTTCCATGATGGTCTACGATCTGCCTACTAAAAATTATTTTTATTTTAGAAATATTTCATGAGATTAGTATGCAAAGAATTAAAAAAATGTATTTCTTTGCATAAATAACAACGATATATGAGAAATGATAAGTTTGACAGCTACAGCCGAAAAAAAACGGCACAAGTGTATTTTGAAACATATCCGGAAAAATGATAGTCGGATAAGAATATTTGCAATATATAATTCACAGGCTAATGTTGTTTGACAAGAACTTTGTCGAGAGTTATGATTTAATGTAAAAAAAAAGTTTTGAATATGACCAGAGCTTATATATTTATACATTATTTAAAATTTGTTAATAACGAGTTTTCCTATCAAATATGGAGCACATGCGGAACCCATCGATAATCTAGTCGAGTTCTTGTATTTCTAAATGTGATTGAAGATTTTACACCGCTTTATAAGCAAACTATTTCAAACCAATCTATATCTAATGGGTTAAACGATATGAAATTAGAATCCCTTTAAACAATGGGATATTATCGGGTTGTGCGAAATCAAATTATATCCTACCTGTTTTGGTTGCGATGCCACGTTTTTTTTGGAACCGAACTAAATACGCTAGCGTCATGTTTAATTAAAATGAACGTAATCTGCAGCATGCTCGACCATTTTGACCAAAGTACCGACATTAACGGCAGATTTCGAAGCTTATTGAATATAAAAGCTGCCCGGACCATTATTAGGCTCGACGTTGTTAGTTGACTGCCTGTATTTTCAACGTGTAATCAGCGTCATGCAATAAGGTTTTCTATTACAATTACTGGCTGCGTGGTTATTTCTCTACATGCACGCGTCAACAACAGCCCCCTCCCAAATATGAGGACATAGGAAACGATTTTGTCAACGCATTCGGGCGATTGCGCAATAATGCGTCATCTGGAGGTCGAAAAACCTTTGGGGTTCAACTCAACAAAACTCAACAGGAACCAATTGAAACGTGACCGGAGAAGATTTTTTTTAATGAGAAGGGTTAAAAGCTGATTTTAAATCAATGAATATTACCTTATGATATGGCAGCATCGTAAAAGACAAAAAAAAACAAATCAGATGACAAATGATTGCGTTTGTTAATCATTATATCTTGAATTCTCAATGTTAGCAATTTGTTTTAATTTTATCGCAACTAAACCTCAAAAACCCGCCAAAACAAAGCACTGTAATCTGAATAATATCAGAAACCTTTTCCTTTACCATGCCGGAAAGTTTGGTCACGAATGGCCAAGACTACGTTGACTACGTTTGACATCTTCTAGACACTGTGGTGTTGATGTTGGCTCTGCAAATTGTAATATATAAATATATATATATATATATATATATATATATATATATATATATATATATATATATATATATATATATATATATATATATATAGATATATATATATATATATATATATATATATATATATATATATATATATATATATATATATATATATATATATATATATATATATATATATATATATATATATATATATATATATATATATATATATAGATATATATATATATATATATATATATATATATATATATATATATATATATATATATATATATTATATATATATATATATATATATATATATATATATATATATTCTCACGTATTGATTCACGGATGGAAAAATGTGATGACACTATATTCCGGGATATCATCCGTTCGCTCGTTGAACTCCGACTGGAATCCTGCATCCGACTGGAATCCTGCAAATCTTGCATCCGACTGGAATCCTGCAGACGTTTCGCCAAAATCTCACTTGGCATCTTCAATGCTCGCGCTCCGAAAACACTTCGAAGTGTTTTCGGAGCGCGAGCATTGAAGATGCCAAGTGAGATTTTGGCGAAACGTCTGCAGGATTCCAGTCGGAGTTCAACGAGCGAACGGATGATATCCCGGAATATAGTGTCATCATATATATATATATATTATATATATATATATATATATATATATATATATATATATATATATATATATATATATATATATATATATATATATATATATATATATATATATATATATATATATATATATATATATATATATATATATATATATATATATATATATATATATATATATATGTATATATATATATAATCAAATAATGCAAAATTTGCCAAAGTGAAAGAAAAGTTTAGGATTTAAAGGCAGATTTTAAATAATTCTGTTGCTATAATGATGGGTTAAGTTTTTCTTGATTTAAGAAAGCACATCCTAGTAATCTTACTAGGAAGTTTCTTAAAAATTGCAAAGTTTAAAAAAATCAAATGCCTGAAGTTATAATAAATACCAAGCATAATTTTTGAGTTTGTGAAATAGAGGTTGACAGGAATTACGATAGGCGCGATTTTTTTCTGCACAGCAAGTGAAGATTTAGCTGCAGAACTACTGCCAAAATCTTTCACGGAATAATAATATGCAAAATCTATAAAGAGTTTTAATCTTCGAACAAGAAATACTAAACTTGAAAAACTTGAACATTGAAATGTTTCTGGCAGAGATCTCTGATAAAGCAGATAGACAACAATAGAAGAGATAAAGTTGGTATCGTTTGCAAACAGTATCGACCATGCAGTTATAAAAGTAAAAGCAATAAACAGTAGATGGATCCTTGCAAGGTCAACACATTGCCAAGATAGGATTTTAAAAGGTTTTTCATGGTTTTTTTTCTAATACCGTATTGGAAAATTTCTGCAAAAATAAAACGCTTTGACGAGATCGAACAAAGATACGGTGCAATGCTCACCGTACTCCAATCCTCCAACCACATCAACCAATTCTCTTAGTACCGCCTTAGTAGTTGAATAACCTGAGCGGAAACCAAACAGAGCGTTTGAGACGATATTCTCTTAAAAAGATTCTGTGAGACCAAGTTTGAAAATGAGTCTCCCAAAAAGTTTGTGTAGTGAGCAGAAGTTCGTATTGCAATGTTAAAGGATCAGGCAAGTCTATGTTCCCGGATCACTTTACTCCCGGGGCACTTGAATTTTAAGGAATAGAAATAATATTGTCAATGGTGATTTTGAGGAGCTCTGGAAGAGATTGGTTTATTCAAACCGATGCTTTTCTTTTAATTTTCTTCAACTATTTAGACTAATTAAACCTCTTGTTCAAGAACTTGTGAGCGTGGCCACTAACCTTGAGCCTTTTCTGTTATATGCGAAATCATCTTTTTATTCTGAGTTCACGATTTTTCTATTTCTTTTATTAGAGTTAAAAGTAACCACTAAGTATCGACGAACTCTACGGTAACGAAGTTTAATAATGGCACTACGTATATTGCAATTTTAGTAGGTTGAAACCACACACGTTTCTTTGATCTGTTAACTATTAAAATTATTTGGGGAAATGCTGTTTAATAATTTGGCAAGGTAGAATTTTTTCTCCCACAAATATTGATATAGTCCGTTGTCCTTTGGACTCCCGGCTCCCCCTGTGCCTTATTTAAGAGTCACTAATGTATGTAGGATTCGCACCACATGTAAGTGGAGAAGTCAATAAAGTTTAGCGCGTTTTGTAAAGCGCTCGCTTTAGGACGAGTACGCACATTTCTGGAAATTTCTGCACAACCTATTGCAAATGTCCTAGTAATGCGAAAGCTGAAAATTATGGACCTTTAGTAAAACTGGAAATCGTTGCTCGTTATTTTCGCAGAACGATTTTAATAAGCGTAAATTGGCACACTTAAAGTAACGAAACACGAAATGGAAAACGCTGGGAAACGTCTCTAATTTGGACCCGGCAATAACGAGTGAATTACAACTGAAGTCTTGGCAGGAGTATGTGACGCTAATTGCCGAAAGAGTCACAGTAGGCCATTTTCGTTCCTCGTAATACCCCTTAGACGTTATTGCTACAGCTACCGTAGGAATTTAAAAGAGAACGGAAACTAGACTCCCTGGATATGCTAATGTACTCCTAGCAAAGGTATTACGTTTGTGGATGCTTAGTGTTTTAGGGATGGTGGTATTTAGTCGGCTATTTGAGAGAGAACGCTTCTTATATCACCGGTTAATTCCTAGTATAAGAGCAAGATCACGTCAAGTGGACCCCCCATTTACCACTTGATGATACTTATGACGGAAAATTGATCCCCACAAAGTTTGATTTTAACAACATTTTTTTTATAACGAAAATTTTAAGCACTTTTAATTCAAAAATGGATTAAAAATCAACCGTAGAGATAAATTTATGAAATATTCAGCATAAGAATATATTAACGACTTAAAATCATTTGTTTATTTTCGTATTGTTAACTAACTTTTATATTAACAAAGGAAAATTTAACTGATTTATTGTACAAAAAATCTTTTTTTTTATGGGTCACATGCTTTATCCATTTAAGTTTAAGATTCCGGAACAAAATGTCACTGCTCGTCATTAGTTTAAACAAAATTAAAAAAAATTAAAAAAAATTTTTATTATTATTTATGTTATTTTATTATTATTATTAATAAAATTTTATTTTATACAATACAATCATAACATACTGAATAGAACAAACAAGCTCAAAATAATTAAATTGCAAATTTGTCGTCAGTTATTTTTATTTTTTTTTTAAACTTTGTTAATAAATACTTTTTCATCCTCTGAAACGAGCCTGCATTCTAGTGAAAAAATTTCCAATGGTTTGTAATAATGAAATTAGCTAGTATTTTTTATTGTATTTAAACATTCGAATCGTGGTTGCCATTTTTTTTTTCATGTAGCTCATGATCTTTAATAGTACAGAAAGCAAAATTATTTTTTTTAAAAGAACTTTGGGCCCACTGGAAAAAAGAAAGTGGGGTTGTTATGTGGTTGTTTATATCACGTTGGAGACTAGAACGACAAGCTTGTCTTTTTACACTCCCTGCTAAGCCATCACACGCCCTTTGCCATGAGATGTAGCGAAAAAAGGCCCATCAGCATCAACACAAAAATCATTTTTATGATTAACTAAATTGGCAAAATTATATTTATTTTTATATTGTGAAGCTGCTCCATCGCTTTCAAAAATTCTATCAATTTAGTATTAAATAAATGTACTGAACTTGCATCGTGACTAAGTTTTTCTGATATCACAACAAAATTTTCATGCCTCATTTCTCCATTTACCTTAGAATAAATAACATAAGGGTGAAGTATAACCTGATCATTGGTGACCAATGGTGATTGAATAGCATCTTGAACAAAAAAACAATAATTTTCGGAAAAATCGAGACATACTATGAAGTCTTCACCATCAACCGATTCTTTTTGTTTAGAGAAATAAGACGCTTGAGACTTAGCCACAAAATCATGCTTTAACAGCTCGGAGTATTTATTTTTCAGCTCAGCCAAAAAATCTTCCTTTAAATACGTAGCTTCAACGATTTCAGTATTGCAAAATTTTAAAAGAATGTATTAGATAATAAATTGTGTATAAAAATCAATCATTAGACAAATTGATGAAATGAAATTATTTATATTAAACCCTTTTCCTTACCTGTCGGTACTTTTCCATTGACTAAACGATATTTCCTTTATCTCGTGACTTTCAATTAATAATTTTAACTTATCAATAACAGCATTAACTTCTGGACACTTTTTACAGGTCGAAAAAAGATATGCAAACAGAGCTTCGAATTAAGTCATTGGAACTTTCAGCAAAATCAACATCATTCTCCTTGACACTTTG